CTACTTTTGCTACCTTTCTTTACTACCTTTCCTAAAATCAAATAAAGAGAGCGACATCAACTGGCCATTATAATCATACACAGGTTTCAAGCCTAACAACATCAACAGTCTGAGGTCAAGAGAGACTTTTTTCCAAAATTATTAAACCACAAGATATCAAAGAATAATTTTGATTGAATTAAGACGAAGTTCAAATTGAGAAGTCATGACACAGGAAGACCAGTTCTCCCAAATTTTGATTTATACATGTAGAATTCTTTGATTTATGTAACATATATATTTTTAGAGAGTTGGAAAAGACAAATCTAAAAGAAATTTGAGGGTATTGTTCGAATAATGGTGCTGAAAGTTTCTATCAATGGAATAACTATATCTAGAAAAACTATGGCTATATCTAGATATCGAATAAAGATGCCATTTATTACAGCCTTAGGCCTACTTTTTCTTGTGAAAATTTGTTCTAACATGGAACCTTTATATATATATATATATATATATATATATATATATTATATATATATATATATATATATACATATATATCGTGCCGAATAGGCAGAACTTGCGATCTTGGCTTAAATAGCAACGCTCATCTTGCCATATAGAACAAGTGAAAATTTGTGTATGCAATAATTTCGCCAAAATCATTCTTAACCTAATGAAAAAAAATATATTTCACTGTGTTTGTTTAGTATTAAATTAATGTAAACAAATCTAAAATATATTTATCTGTGTTAGGCTAAAATAAATTGTTCGTGTTATAATAAGGTTAGGTAAGTTTTCTAAGATTCTTTTGGTGCAAAATTAAAAATTTTTACATCAACATTAATGAAAAAAATATATCTTTAAACGTATAAGAGAAAATTTTAGAAAGGACTTAATTTTAAATGAGTTCTTGCTAATTGACCAGTTTTACATATTCGGCACGACATATATATATATATATATATATATATATATATATATATATATATATATATATATATATATATATATATATATATATATATATCGTACTAAATAAGCCGAATTTGCCGAATATGTCGAACATCAAAAATTAAATTTTTCCAAAATTTTTTTTTTACAGATTGAATGCTAATTTTCTTTTTCATTAACAATGATATAAACATTTTTATTTTTGTACCAAAACTAACAGACACCTCACTTAACCTCCCTTAAACTAACATAATTTTTGTTTTAGCTTAATTCTGTTATATACATCACAGGTTAATGTAAATTTATTTATTGTTGTATAAAATCAATGATATATATATTTTTTTCCTATTGCTGAGATCGATATATTGGGAAAACAATATTTCTTTCGGTTTTATATGACAAAGTGCATCCTTGCTAAATAGGCCAACCTGGACGCTTCGGCTTATTAGGCCAGACATTATATATATGTCGTGCTGAATAGGTAAAACTTGCTATTTTGGCTTAAATAGCAACGCTCTTCTTGCCGAATAAGGAAAGCGAAAATTTGTGTATGCAATAATTTCGCAAAAATCATTCTGAACCTAACGAAAAATATATATTTCATTGTGTTTGTTAATTATTAAATTATTGTAAACTTATCTAAAATATATTTAGATAGATTACGCTAAATTAAATTGCGCTTGTTATAATAAAGTTAGGTTAAGTTTTCTAAGGTTCTTTTGGTACAAAATTATTAATTTTTACATTAACATATATGAACAAAAATATCTTTAAACGTATAAGAGAAAATTTTAGAAAGAACTTAATTTTCAATGAGTTCTTGCTAATTGACCAGTTTTACATATTCGGCACGACATATATATATATATATATATATATATATATATATATATATATATATATATTGAAGTAGTTATGAACCATTCATTAAACTATTACTTTCTTGTTATCGTGAGTACTTATCGTAACATTTTATCTGACATGTTTGTGTTATCTGAGGTGCTTGTGTTATCTGAGGTGCTTGTGTTATCTGAGGTGTTTGTGTTATCTGAGGTGCTTGTGTTATCTGAGGTGCTTGTGTTATCTGAGGTGCTTGTGTTATCTGAGGTGCTTGTGTTATCTGAGGTGCTTGTGTTATCTGAGGTGCTTGTGTTATCTGAGGTGCTTGTGTTATCTGAGGTGCTTGTGTTATCTGAGGTGCTTGTGTTATCTGAGGTGCTTGTGTTATCTGAGTTGCTTGTGTTATCTGAGGTGCTTGTGTTATCTGAGGTGCTTGTGTTATCTGAGGTGTTTGTGTTATCTGAGGTGCTTGTGTTATCTGAGGTGCTTGTGTTATCTGAGGTGCTTGTGTTATCTGAGGTGCTTGTGTTATCTGAGGTGCTTGTGTTATCTGAGGTGTTTGTGTTATCTGAGGTGTTTGTGCTATCTGAGGTGTTTGTGCTATCTGAGGTGTTTGTGTTATCTGAAGTGCTGTGTTATCTGAGGTGCTTGTGTTATCTGAGGTGTTTGTGTTATCTGAGGTGCTTGTGTTATCTGAGGTGTTTGTGTTATCTGAGGTGCTTGTGTTATCTGAGGTGCTTGTGTTATCTGAGGGGCTTGTGTTATCTGAGGTGCTTGTGTTATCTGAGGTGCTTGTGTTATCTGAGGTACTTGTGTTATCTGAGGTGCTTGTGTTATCTGAGGTGCTTGTGTTATCTGAGGTGCTTGTGTTATCTGAGTTGCTTGTGTTATCTGAGGTGTTTGTGTTATCTAATGCACGTCTCGTGTGATTTTTTTTACGTTTATCCGATCAAACTGCGTGATAGGGGTATTAGTAAAACCGCCGTTACTAACAACAGTAACATAGTAACGTCATCGTTACTACTAGCACTAACAGTGATGCCTTCGTTACCACTACCACCAGCATACTATGCTAACATGGCTGAGAATTCTGTACGTTACATTAGTTGACTTATGTTATTGTTGGTTATTCGTGATTAGTTCAGACCATAGTATTGTACGTTATTACTGACAGGTTCCACCCATGGTATCGTGTATTAGTTGTCATTTGTTCCACCCATGGTATCGTGTATTAGTTGTCATTTGTTCCAGACATGGTATCGTGTATTAGTTGTCATTTGTTCCAGACATGGTATCGTGTATTAGTTGTCATTTGTTCCAGACATGGTATCGTGTATTAGTTGTCATTTGTTCCAGACATGGTATTGTGTATTAATTGTCATTTGTTCGAGACATGGTATCGTGTATTAGTTGTCATTTGTTCCAGACATGGTATCGTGTATTAGTTGTCATTTGTTCCAGACATGGTATCGTGTATTAGTTGCCATTTGTTCCAGACATGGTACTGTGTATTAATTGTCATTTGTTCCAGACATGGTATCGTGTATTAGTTGTCATTTGTTCCAGACATGGTATCGTGTATTAGTTGTCATTTGTTCCAGACATGGTATTGTTTGTTAGTTGTGAATTGTTAGCCATAGTACTGTTGGGTGTGAATTGTTTTAACCATGGTATTGTAGGTTATGAACTGTTCCAATTATGGTACTGTATTTTTAGCCATGATATTGTGAGTTAGTTGTAAATTGTTCCAACCATGGTTAGTTATGAATTGTTTCAGCTATGGTATTGTTGGTTGTGAAATATACCAGCCATGGTAATGTGGGTTAGCTGTGAATTGTACCAGTCATGGTATTGTGGGTTCTCAAATATTACAGTCATAGTACTCTGGGTTAGTTTTCAAATATTCTCCCTATGGTATTATGAGTCAGTCCTCTATATACTGTATATATCTCATATTGTATCTCTCTCTCTCTCTCTCTCTCCGTGGACTCAGAAGCAGAAAATAGTCATGAATATACTCGCCTATGATTATTTCTTCTGTTGTTCCTGACAAACAAAGTTAGTATATCTGAAGTCTGGACCACTGATGTCTGGACCACTGAAGTCTGGACCACTGGAGTGTGTCTACACCACCACTAGAGTTGAAGAGGAGGAGGGTGCTAATCCATGAAGCTGAGCCCCTGGAGTTGGAGTTAAGGAGATGGAGAAGAGGAGGTTGCTCCTTCATGGGTCTGACCAACACAACTCTCTCCACACTGGCCCGCCTCCAAACCCCTGACGTCTGGCTTCCCAAGCCAACCCAGTCACAAAAGGAGTCCATCCCTAATCCTCTAGGCCAGTCCATGATGTAGTAACCAATAAACATCTGTTGTCCACGCAAACATACATACATACATATATATACATACATACTATATATAATATATATATATATATGTGTTATTTATGTGTATGTTGTGTGTGTGTGTGTGTGTGTGTGTGTGTGTGTGTCGTGCCTAATAGGTAAAACTTGCGATTTTGGCTTAATTAGCGACGCTTTTCGTGCCGAATAAAGAAAACGAAAATTTGTGTATGCAATAATTTCGCAAAAATCATTCTGAACCTAACGAAAAAAATATGTATTTCATTGTTTCTTTATTACTAAATTAGTGTAAACTTATCTAAAATATATTAACTTGGATTATGCTAAATTAAATTGCGCTTGTTATAATAAGGTTAGGTAAGTTTTTTAAGGTTCTTTTGGTACAAAAGTATTAATTTTTATATTAGCATCAATGAAAAAAAAAATCTTTAAACGTATAAAAGAAAATTTTGGGAAGAACTTAATTTTAAATGAGTTCTTGACAATTGACCAGTTTTACCTATTCGGCACGACATATATTATATATATATATATATATATATATATATATATATATATATAGTTTATTATGAATTTTTTATCTATATTGTACTTATAATGAATAAAATTCACAATACCGTGAAACTTTGCACGACGTTTCGGTGCGATATGAACCATTATCTTGTCACGTGCTTTTTTAATAATGGGCTGAAAAAAAGGACCGAAACGTCGTTGAATATTTGCTCTCTGAAGTGTGGAGTGTTGTGCTTATAAGAGTAAGTGGGATGAAATGTTATAGATTCTGTTGTGGTGGATTATATTATTGAGAATGATAGAACTGCAATTATAGACACGTACTTGATGTTCCTTTGTTTGCTTTCAGCTTGTGAGATCGAATTCTCCACATCTTATAACACAGGCGAGTATTATCTCCGTGATGAGAGTATTCAAGTCTATCCTGATATTATCTCTCTGCTTATCTCCCTCCATCCCTGCTTGTGTGCCTCCCTTGCTGCTTGTATCCTTCTCCCTTGCCTGTGTGTATCCCTTCTTAGCTTTCTCCCTCCCTCCTTGCCTCTATTCCTCCCTTCCTGACTGTCTTCGTTCACCCTTCTCTAATTTCTTTTCACATTTTTCCCATTGCCTGCTTCCCTACATGTCTACCAGCCTCCCTATATGTCTACAAGCCTCCCTGTAAGTCTACTAGCCTGCCTCTATATCTACCTGGCGCTGCCTTTCTCTCTCCCTACCTGCCTGCCTTCCTCCTCGTCACTATTCCGGAAACGTTACTTAACTCCAGCCAGTCTACCTACCTACCTTCCTCCTTGCTTCCCTCCCTCTACCTACCTACCGTCTCTCTCTCTCTCAGCCTCTTTATGTATCGTCTCTCTATCTCCCTACTATTTCCTTGTATCCTTGTCTCCCTCTCTGCCTGTCAACTTGTTGCCTCCTTGTCTGTCTCCATGGCTGTCTGCTTTCTGTCTCCCTGTCTGCTTGCCTGCCTGCCGTGGACAGCTGGGTTATAGTGTCCATAATTAATTGAATTTATACATGTGATTCAAGGATTATTTGGTTAATGTTGTCGTGTGTAATGTAAACAAGTGAACACGTACACACACACACACACACACACACACTGCTCAGTAACACCTGGGAGAGAGAGAGAGAGAGTGACCAGTTTGATAAATGAGGTATTACATAATTACTCTGATAATTACTTAAAAAGAGTGACTATTTAATTGGAAATTTTAAAAAAGAAATAATTTAAAAGGCTTGAGGTTGAAACTACAAATAAATGATCAGTAGAAATCATAAACGAAATGTGTGTGTACACACACACACACACACACACACACAGTGTGCACAAAAAAACACTCCCTGATTTCAAACAGGTATAACATGCAACTTTATTGCAATAATCTTTCACAGTTAGTAGCTGCAGATGCAGGATGTCATTCGGTTTCATGTGGTAGAGTGTTTTTATGAACACACTGTATATATATATATATATATATATATATATATATATATATATATATATATATATATATATATATATAACCATATCTTAAGAACTGTCAAACATCAGATAAATATCGGTAATTAGAAAACAAAAAAAAGCAAGAAACTCTACCGAGAGTTCTTTATTACACGAGGGAAAAGTTGTCTTTAGTGGTGTAAAGAGAGAGACTACTTGGGCCAGCTCGATGGTATTGGATCCACTTGTGTTATCCAATACCATGCCATCAACATTCAGTTTTGCAGTTCCACTTTTATGGCTGCCAGTGTTGCCCCTCAAAAACACCGTCTTCTCTACAGATATTATAAAATCCACAATATTCCAGGCTGTATGTAATTTAAAGAGGTTTTCGGCCCACGAAAAAGTTTTAAGAGCCTCCAGGAATATCAACATTGTTATTTATGATATTACTGAGGTATCTGGTATTGATTTTCGTATAGCATTAATTCGTTAAACAGCGTAGGACCTAACACACAGCCCTGAGGAGTGCCAAGATGCGCCATTTTAGCTTCACTGAAACACTGCAAAGTATAGTTTCGGTCGGTTCTGAGATATTAAAGAATTTTCGGTCCATTCTGAACCATTAAAAAAACTTCAGTCCATTCTGAACTATCATAAAGAAGTTTCTATCCATCCTGGTCCATTATTGAGAAGTTTCAGTCCATCCTGGTCCATCATAAAGAAGTTTCAGTCCATCCTGGTCCATTATAGAGAAGTTTCGGCCCGTCCTGGTCCATTATAAAGAAGTTTTGGTCTTATTGGACCATGAAAAAGTTTTGCTTAATACTACAACCCAGGAGTCCCAATGGCCTGTTATCCTGGGTGTAAAGGGAGCAAAATAAACACAGCAGAAAACTTTTGACTTACATTATCCTTCACCAATTTAGAACAGAAGTATGTACACTATATACACTATGTACAGTGATAGGTATTAGTGCACTCCACGGTAAGCAAGGCAGAATAGAAGCCACTAGAGAGCAGACCGTGCTTCAACCAGCTCTAGAATGGGAATGACAAGGGCAGACAGGAGAGTGGTACCCACATCACCTCTGCGATTGCCAAAACCATCTTCTCACTGGCTGGAACCTGGGTACTGATTGAACGACGGGGCCCCATCGTCAACCCTCAGTCACCTGGTTCGCTGGTTGGGGGAGATAGCCTGTCAATGAGGGTGTGTACATGCGCCGAATAAAGGTTACGTACTCTTTGCATGCCACACTTCATCTTGAACCATTGTGGAATTATGGGTTATTAGAGAATTGTTCCAACCATGGAATTGTGGTTTGTGAACTGTTCCTTTCAGAGTATGGTGTGGGTTGTGGGTTATTCGTAAATTGTTCCAGCCACGATATTGTGGAACTGTTGCTTATTTGTAAACAATTCCAGCCACGATATTGTGGAGTTGCGGGTTATTTGTGAATTGTTTAAGCCATATTTTGGAATTGGGAATTTTCTGTGATTTGTTTCATCCAGATTACTGGGATGTGAATTGTTGCAATAATGGTATTATGGAACTGTGGGTTACTTGTGTATTATAGCAACCAGGGTATTGTGGAATTGTAGGTCAGTTTTGTATTGTCACAGCCAGGGTATTGTAGATTTGTGGGTTATTTGTGATTTTTTCCAACCGGGGTATTGTGCTTCTTATGTCTCAAGCGAGAATTGTTTTTCAAGAGTACATAAATTACTTCTTAAAATAAGGGGCAGTAAAGATGATTTATCACAGTTAAGAAGAGAATTATAACTTGAGTAAATAATCATCACATTCGGTCCTATAATCATAATTAGTCGTAAAACTGGGTCCCAGGACCACGGTCAGTCATTACTGACGGTCTCGTGTCCAAAATCGAACATCACTACTGGTTTTATGACCAAAATCAGTAGTCACGCTCGGTTCCAGGACCAAATGTAATCTACCACTCGGTTCCAGGACCGAAAGTAATTTCCCTCCCTGGTCACCGGACCGAAAGCTCCACTGAGCGGATCATCTTATGACCTAAGACTCAGGCCAGAAGAAATGTTACCTAATTATTTTATTATTATTCGTTATTTGTATTATCATTAATAATAATTAAAATAAAAACAATAATAACAGTAAAAGTCATATTAAAAATATAATTATTATATTTACGGGAAAACACTAAACTCGTAGGGGGGTTATACAGTGGGGAATGGGAGGTAATCAAGTTTGATCAGAGGAAGAGGAGGTTTGCCCTCCACTCTTGAGATCAAGCGCCCTTCATCGAGGAACAAAACACAGGGGCAAATGTCAACACCAGCGTGGGCCGCCAGCACTAACAGCTTGGGTGATCAGACGGTCTCATTCCAGCAAGTGTAGAGCGGCTCTGGAGAGCAATCACGGGTAAGACACAGGTAAAGAGCGCAGGGTGGACTTAAAATGAGCCGACAACCAGTAATTTAGGTGGGACGCGATCCGCCCCTTCTGATCCCTGTCGACCAAAACATTAGCTACAATGAATCCAGTACGTGTGTGTGTGGGGGGGGGAGGGGGGAAGGGTGATCCTGGTGTGGCAGGGAGGGAGGCAGAAAGAAGGAGGGAGGCGTAGGGAGAGGGAGGAGACGTATGGAGGTCAGAGGGATATTTTTCTCTTTTATTTTTATTTAACAAAATTGGATACGTCAGCAGCCTGTTACTGTCCTGTTCTATTATATAATAATATCTTTATTTACTACAAGTACATGTACAAGGTATACAGTCCTAGCTGACATCAATGACATACTACTATATAGGAAGTCGCTTGTTATGCTGAGCATTTCGGGCAAATTAGGTCAGTTTTGTCCCAGGATGCGACCCACACCAGTCGACTAACACCCAGGTACCCATTTTAGACTGATGGGTGAACATGGACAACAGGTGTCTTATGGAAACACGTCCGTAATGTTTTCCAGCCGTACCGGAGGAGATTCGATCTCCAGACCTCAGTGTGTGAGGTGAATGTGCAAGTGATCCAGCTTACGTAGTTGAAACTGACACTATGTTTCCTTATCATATTCTAAGTCACTCACTCTGACTTATGGGTTATCCTCGGTAATGTACACGTATGTTACCATAGCAGGATTCGAACCTACATACAGCTGTGTGGATAAAGCGCTGTGTATTTTGATGCAGAGTTTGCAGGTTAGTCTTGCTGTGGACTGAGACATAATGTAAATAATTTCGCCCGTCGAATTGTGAAATATATGTTACTATGTATGTTTTTTTGTACTTATGTGTACCTGTACCAAAATAGACTTACTTATGCGAAGGGAGAACGAGTAGTAGGCAGAGAAAGGCACGGGGGTGGGGAGAGGAGAGGTGTAGAGGAAGGTAGAGGGAGGAGGAAGCTCGGGGGGTGTAGAAAGGGAAAGGGATAGGTGGGATGGGTTAGGGGAGGGGAGGGCGCTAATCCCTCTCCACGGCTCTGATCCCCAGCCTTGTGTTGACGGGGAGGATAAGGAGGAGGAAATGGAGAAGGAGGGGTGGAGGAAATGGAGGAGGAGGGTTGGAGGCTAAGAAGTTGGAAAAGCGGAAAAAAAGGAGGCGGAGGAGGGTGGAAGAAATGAGGGTATGGTTTGTGAAAGAGAAAGAAGGAAGGGAAATACTGATGAAAATACCTGAGTACAAGGGAGACAGCAGACGACTCTGCTAACAACAATCTACTTCCACCTAGAATAAAGACCATCGTGTATTATCTAGGTGTATAAATCATGGATAGAAAAGCAGGTGGAAGAGGAGGAAGAGAGAGAAGGAAGAAGAGGAGACGAATGAACTTGTGAACTACAGAGGTTGAGAATGACAAGGTATGCACACTGATAGGTGTGTGTGTGTGTGTATATATATATATATATATATATATATATATATATATATATATATATATATATATATATATATATAT